TTCACATGTCTCCACAGGCCATTTAGTAGCACCTCCAAACACATCAACGTTGTTATCAACCCAGGGTATGATGTTGCCAGGCATGTTGGTAGAGCAGTTAGCAATATTCATGATGTCTTCAGCTTTTAAGACCCTGTCCCATATATTGAACTGGCTCATCTCCCCAACGAAGGCTTGAGTTGCATCAAATCTTCCTCCTACTGTGTCCTTTAGGCACACAAGAGTTAGGATTAGATGAGAAAGTTATTTCAGCATTTTCTTCTTCAAACTGGAGGACCCTCCCCCCCAGCCACACTGCTAGAAGGAGGTGCAAAGCTATTTCAAAGACAAACAACCTCAAGTTTCTAGAAGGTCTACTTTGAATAAGGTGTTCTATGGAACAGTTAAAAGCTCCAGTCTGGAATGTGTCAAAAGAATTCAAAGCACACAGCAGTGACTCTACACCATCACACAATGGCTGTAGGTAACAAATACTGCCCCAAGCAGTAGAGCAGGAAAGCAGCTTTAAATATTGAGGCTAATTAGGGAGCCATTTTGCAAGCTTAGCACAAGACAACTTCAGCAAGAACTGCACAGATGTGCAAGATTACTCCAAAATCTTTACAGCTACAGATCAAACTGTAACTGCAGCCCTTGACCAATTGTCAGTGACCCATGAGACACCATCTTTGCATCTAAATCCACAGGCTTCTTCTGTTTTTACTAAATGACTAGCTCAAACTGCTACTGCTTAAGCCTAGAAGTGTTTGCTTGCTCCATCCACTACTCAAGGACAGAAAGCACCCATTTTGTGTGACCACACTAACATGAAACTGATAGCATAGGACAGAACCAGGCATCATACAGGCAAACAGCATGAGAGTTACAAAAAAGCTGCCAGCCACTTAACAGTGAGGTGGTGCATCTCTGTGCAGTGTGTCAGGATTCTGAATTCACCATTGTGTCATTTAAGTCATGGACAATTATCTACTAAAATCACTATAAGGGCAAAACTGATTTTTCATTGCCCTGTTGTGAACCTGGGAATACTGGAGAAAGCCTGTTTCCTGCTGCTCTTTACAATATTGTTTAAGTATATGTATAATCATACAAAGAACAGGGAGAGAAAAAAAAAAAAAAAAAAAAATGTGAAGCTAAGAGCCACACAATTTATAGGCAATAACTTAGAGATGTTAATTAGAAAAGCAAGATTCAAAATCCTTTGTATTTGGGCTTGTGGGGGGTTTTGTTTGTTTGTTGGTTTGGTTTTTAGTTTTCAAAAAGGACTTTAACCTCATGAATGTCTTCTGTTGGCAGTACTAGTATTCAAACATTATTAGTATTTGCATTAGAAGAGTTGTCTACCTACATCTTTAATGATAAACCAGATGTGTGATTTCGAGTTCATCCCTTTGACTTCAGACTCATCTTTAAAATAGACATCAAATTCTGAAAGAGTGACAGGCTCCACTGCTGTTAAAACAAGCTACATACCTGAAGCTGCAGAATTCAGGCTGGAGGGAGCTCTCTCTGGCAGGCCAAATTACAAAAAAATCCTGATACACCCCCAAGCACTCCAGTGCTCATAGTTGTCAGTCCCCTCACCCCCATACACACACTTTCCTTGGTCTATTCCAGGTCTTGAGGACTAACATCCTTACTATTCTTGGGATAAAGAGGAAAGGAGGAGGGAAAGCCAGTGAACTGCTAAGGGGGACAGTCTGTTTGGCTTCGATGAAAAAAACCATACATCTTTCTTTGCTTTCAGCAAGCTCCTTTTTGACTGCTCATGCAACAGTGCTGGCCAGTTCTGTCCTTTTCTGTAGCTTCTAGTTACTAGCAACCTGCCTCAAAGGATCTAATTTAAGGTATTATTCAGATCACTGACAAAAGCTGCATGCTGTAGAGCTAAGAGTAGGAATAGAAATATCTGCAACATGAATATTCTGAATATTTAATAAATGAAATAAAATATACCAGTGTGATTTCATTAAGAATTTGTTGCTTGGTTCTAATCTTTCTGATGTTGTGTAGACAACAGGACCAACTGTTCAACAAAGAAACTTTCTCACAGCTGCTGTGTTTGGGGAATTTTGGTTATTTATTTTTTTAGAAATCCAGGAACACATTCACTCACCTGTTCCTGACCCAGGATCAAGACACCTCCAGGTTTAATTGGATGCCAGGGAGCAAGATTCTCCCCAGTGCCAAGCTTCTCTCCATCCTGAAAAGCCTCCCACATTCCATCTCTGGTTGTCCATGTTATACAGATATGATGCCATTTTCCATCACTAATGAAGAGAGGGAGCTGGGCAACCTACAAAACCCAAAGGACAGTGCATGTTGTAAACCAAGTCTACCAGTTCAAGCACATTTAAAAAGGGACAGTATTTACTCTGCCCTCAGAAGTAAAAACTTCAGAGGCAGAAGTTAGTCCACACCTTTCTACTTTGTCCCAGCTCTCCCATATTCAGGAATACAGCCATGCTTTTTACTCTAGATGCAAGTCTTGTTTCATCTAGAGTCAAGTGACACAAGTACCAGAGTCTAAGCTGCTATCAATCCACTGATGCTGCATATTAGGCTGTGGCATTTCTTGTTTAAATTTCAGTGCCTAGTCCTAACTTTGCATCCTCTGCTGATGTTAAGTTTCTCTTAAAATGCAGTAACAACTCTGACAAATGGACCTGCCTGCTTCCAGCAAAGCTTGGGGGAACTGTTATGCAGGGCTCCAAATAAGGAGGAGTTATGTTCCTTTAGGAGTATGATCTGAAAACTTACTCAGGTCATCAAAAAGACAAATACAGTGGGCTATGGAGCAACTGTGACATGGGGGAAAGAAAAGCCTCACAGAACATTAATGGTGCTGACAGTATCAAAGAGAAAAACCTATTGCTAAAGATGAGCAGACTCAAGTTTCCTTCTCTTCCACAAACCATTAAAAATAATCAGATTGTCAGACTATTAAAAGTCCCTAACTAGCCACGTGAGTGAGCCACCTGAGCTGTGCTGTGGATCTGTAAACACATGATACCTCAGAGAGCAACGAGTTACTAGGAAACCCAAGTGAAGGTGAGGAGAAAGAAGGTATTTATAATCCAGTTTAATGTCTTGTTTTCCTCAAGCTTCATTCTGAAGCTTGTCATAAACCATCAGTGGTATGAAGTAGTATGAGACATTTGTTGCTTTTTGTATAAAAATTCTGAAAGAAATTGTATTTAAACTGATGTTCAGTCACTCAGCACAACAAAATCAGACAATTACATGCCTTTTGTTCTCTGTCTTCTGCAAAATTCATTTTAAGATATCTGAACTTCTAGGACTAAAGAGATTCTCCAACTGACCTAGATCTCACAGGTTTTGCAGTAGTGTGGCTTCAAATATTGCTTCTGTTTCATATAACAAAAACCAAGGGGCCAAGATCTGCTTATAAATTCAGAGGACACTGCATAAGCATGTGCACATCTAGATGTCACGCTGCTTTGCCTCAACACACCAATATACATACTGTCTGACTTTGTTTCAAGAACTTTTATGAACTTGCAACACACAGATGGACAACAACAAACAAGTGGACACTACCACCCCAAAGGCCCAGAGGTGGCTTCTCTCAGAGAGAATTAAAGAGTTACTAGAGAGGTACCAAGGGTTTGAGCCTTATTCTGACTAGGCAGACAATAAGGAGAATTAGTCAATTCTCACCTTATCATTAATTAGCAGCTCAATTGGATTATTCCCCCACTCTATGAGGACAATTTCATTAGCCTGCCCAGGAACAGCATAGGAGAATGGAGTGCCAATTCCAGGAGAAGCACTTGATCTCAACCACAAGCACACAGTAAAAGCATACAGCTCTGGCAGAGTCTTCTTGATCTTCCCATACAAGTAGTTTGTGCGAAGAGGAAGGGAGACTTTGAATTCATCAGGTGACTTAAATGCACTGTTCCCTAGGATGACATTGAGGAAGAAAAACCTTTAACATTAAACAAAACAGTGTACTTGTAATTCAGGTTAAGAAAAAATACAAATGATATTGAGAATCTTTGGCATTCTAATCGCTATAGAGAGGTACACAAAGAGCTGTACTTTAATACAGCATGTTGATTTTGCAGCACAGAAAAATACAACTAGATTTTATACACATCCTGCTAAATACTTAGTTAATACTTCGTGCTCACTTAGAGCAAAAGAATAGATGGCAGACAACCAATGAGAGGCTGTTAAATATTTTCTTTCCTCATTGCTTAGTTCACAGCTGGCAGCCTGCCTATTTCAAACAATTCAAACTGGTTTAGAAGATATTTACTGATACCAAACACAGATTCTCTAGTATGCTCATTATTAAAGCACCACAATGTTTCACAAACATTATTTGTTCTCCTACTACTGCTAGCAGCAGCTATTTCTACAGATACCAGGCTGAGAAAAAGGTTGATGCTCTCATTTTGGGTGGCCAATCTGAAATAAGAAAAAGCTGACACATTCCAGAAAGCAGAATTAAATTCAGCAGAACTGATTTCTGTCCCATAGACAAATCAGGAGATCTGAACAAAAATATAAAGCTGAAGTTTTAAGTAACCCATAGAAAAATGCAATGTAAAGTTATGAACTATGAAAACACTAGATATCTGTTTTAAACTAAAAGCAGAAGTTATTTAGCTTTTCATAAAAGATGTGATAAAAAACCCAGCAAGATATCCATAGAGGTGTTTTATGAAACTGAGTGCTCTTAAGACCAAAACTTTCAAAAGCTGCAATACTTTGTATTATATAGTGTATGTATACTTCTGATGTAGTTACTTACAAGTAATTTTCCAGAATTAAGTATTAAGAGCGAAATTTCACATTGTGCCACCAAGTAAAACCCCACAGTTCTGTAGTAGTGTTGCCCTCAACCTTTTAGCAACCTGTCCTTCCGAGTCCCACCCATTTCCTTTACTCACATTCTTGCAACAACTTCAATCCCCTTGCCAAACTTCACACTCCATCCCAAATGAAGAGCTCTTGTCACACAAGGTTGCCACGATTCTTACATGTAATTTTTAAACTATGGGTATTCTCTCCATTCCCCTTCTCAGAAGCAGCTAAAGTGTTTTGACAGCCTTCTCCACAGAATGAGGGGGTGGAAGAAGAAAAGCTTCTCTGATGCCTGCATCTGTCTTGAGGAATTTACAGACCCAAAACTGAAATATCCTATATTCAAAGCAAAAACCTTAGGGTCTTACGACTAATGTTGAGCAACCTCCACTAGACTGGTACAATCAATCTCACACAAAAAAAAAAGAATAGTCCAATAAAAATATTAGTCACTCTGTGAAAGAACTTAAGGAAGCAATAATTGATTGGAAGAGAACGATATTAATCTCCTTTTTTTATTTTTCAGCTTGTTCTCATAACTTGAAAGCATCCCAAACTCCAAATAAGAACAAGATCCTCCTGTTCTGAGCAATGGGCACAATCCTTTTCCTTAAAAAATCTGAATTATTTTTGGACAAGATGGGCATGAAATGCTGTTATTACCTTTTAGAGATATGAGAAAATAGATTTAGACACAGCAAGTGACCTGCTCACATCTCCAGCAAAGCTAGGAATCCCATTTAAGATCAGGCACTATTAGTTGCAGGATCATTCCCATGCACAGTCCTGCTTTTTAATGCTTCATCCACTGCTGTCGATGGAAACAACCAGTGAAGGAATTACCAGGAGACTTTGGGAATCGTAGCAGTTGTACAGACTTCAAACTCTTCTGCCTCACTGGTAACTAAAGACAGTTCTCATAACTACAGACAGAAAAAGTCTGAAGTTCATAGTGCCACCTTGCAAGGTTAGGTTTTTCTTCCATTTGTTAAGTCTCAGGACAAAGAGGAGCTTGTGACACCAGTTAGCTGTCAGGAAGAGATGCTAAACAATATGGTATTTAAAGTAAAAGCACAACAGAAGTATCATTTTCAAAAGAGGCCAGATGACTGAAAATGTTGTCTGTGTTTGATCTAAAAAGCTCACTACATTCAATGGGTTCATTATTATGCTCACTTTGGTTTGACAGAGGAGCCAAAGGCACAGACAAGCTAAGCTGTGTTGTGGTAGGGTGCGAAGTACCCGACTGAAAGAAAGCCTGTGTCTTGGTTCCAGGCCCAAACTCTTCACTTCCCTGGAGACTTAAGACAGCCCCCTCTTCCCCACACACAAAAAAAAATAAAGGTGGGAACAGGCTATTTTTAACCTAACTGAATTACAGATTCTTATTCTCCCACCACTCCCCTTCTCTTTCCGATGACTTGCTGCTATGAGTCACATCTTTCTGAGACAAGGACTAGCAATACTTGCCACATAAGACATTAAGAGGCCATTAATTCTCCAGAACTTGAGCTGCAGTTTAGGCTTTATCTTGGCTCTCAATACTTAATGACAGAGCCAGCAGATTTCTTCTTACTCCTTCCCTTTTCCCCTCCTTCACACTTATAAAATGAACAAAATAGATACAATATTACACAAATGGATCCATTAGGCTGCCTTTTAAAATTCATGAGATACATATGTTTGCACCATTTTGAAAGCATGTCCATTAAGCTGCTCATGAGCAGGGAGCCTATTTGCCTTGGAAGATGACTTACAGTTTGGGCAGTGATATTTACTGGTACTCTAGTCCTACACAATCTACTCTGCAGGTGTATACAGTCAATACAGAAAGAGTCCTGTTCTTTAGCTCATTTCTGGGACATCTATAATTCCAATAAACAGATTGTATTCAAGCATGGAGAGCTCAGTAATAATTAATCTAAGTATCTGAATAAATGCCTAGGATTAAGAAAGTGTCCCCCAGTGGCACCGTGTGTAATCTGCTATAAACTCTGAATGCTATGCACTTGGAGTAGGACACAACCCAAGTATCTGCAGTTACCCAAAGTCATAACCAACAACAGAAGGGAAGACCACCAGCAAAACTTCCAAAGCAGCAGAAAATGTTGTTGGTGTAAAATGCCATTCATTACAATCAAAGGCATTTGTGGCAATTAAAATTTAGCCCATATGATTTTCCATCCAAATAAACACAGCTGTACTTAGATGCTTATTTGACATTACCTAGGCATTTACCTGACACCAATGTCACACTTTTTCCTATTTCCATTTGCCTCCTTATAGATCTTTCCATCCCACAACCACTAAGATTTCCATCCTAACCACCCACATATGCCAAACGGAGACAGGAAGCCAAAGCCATGCAGAGGCGTGTCATACAGGAAGCCTGTGACAAAAAGAAAAAGGGAATCCACATATTTGCACTGTCATCTACTGTCCTACTATCTAGTCCAGCACCTTTAACTGTCTCTCCCCCAGGTCCCATATTTAGACTTAATGTACTAGAAGGAAGGACTAAACAAAATTAGTCAGCATTAGGAAGCATTTAGCTTACCTTTTTCTAATTCAGACCCTCTTTCTAGCAGTGCATTCAAGGCTGTCTCTGTCTTCTGCCGGTGGGCTGACGTCTCATTATGAAGCAAAGACTTCTCATCCTCAAGCTCAGCCACTTTGCTCAGGAGCTGGCGCTCCAGGTCTCCAAGCCTCCGCTGAAGCATCTCTCGAAGGTCGTTAGGCAGTGCTGAATATGACACGTTGGCTCGGAGCTGGTGCTTTGGGGGAAGCGAGAAAAGGGGGGGGAAAAAAAAGTAATTTCTAAACCAGAAACTGTGAAATGTGGGAATGCTCCTGATACAAAGCAAGATCACCGAGTGCTGCAGCTAGTACAGAAGAGGCATTGCTTTTTAGCACTTGTCATGTTCAGTGCTTTTATCAGCACTGTAGCTAATCAGGTCCTGAAACAAAAAGGCACTTTTATTAGAAGCTTCCAGCATTTCATCAGGACGAGTCTTCATACACTTAAGTTCAATAAAAATCAATGTAGGGAGCCAGGTCTGATGCACTTCCACTAGTATGGGTGCATGGTACATCAGTCAATTTTTGCTTTACTTACTACAAGTGACAGTGCCAACATAAGTAAGCAGAAAAACTATTATTTTTTAACTAAAAATTAAGCTACTTCAAAAGCAAGTTTCCCAAATGAAAGTTTTCTCAGTTTTGATTTGCAGAGTAAGAAAGTCAGATGTTCTATAGATCAACTCTAAGTATTAGCCAGAGAAAAGTATTTTTAGTTAAACTGAAAAAAAACCCCAAACACCCTCAAACAGCCCGAGTATCTCTAAGGATTCTAAGAAACCAGCAGTTCTACCTAACACATTCTTCTAGTGGAAATTCTCTTTTACAATTCTAAAAAAATGACTCCAAAAGAGAGCAACAGTAACAAAAGGATGCTACACTGCCAGGCCATTCAAAACCATACTTGAAAGGCAGTCCAGAGTGTTCAGAACTCACAGAATAACCTTTAGGAATTTACTCATCATCCTCACATCACCGAGTGTTTGGAGGACAGCAGAAGGAAGACACGTGCAGCTCTCAAGGTGTGGAAAGCACAATAAGCACGATTCCCGTGGGAACAGTCACTATGAAATATTTCCATGAGTTCTACTCAACCATGGGCACTGTCCAAAGGCTCATGTAAATCATTTATTGGTGAGCCTGGACAAAATCCCCTGTTTACTCATAGGCATACAGAATTGGGTTCTTTCTAGTCTGTCTGCTCTAAATACTTCATCTGTCTTCACAATCTGCCCAACAAGGTCTCCTCATTACCACCCTACGCCAAGGTCTTGCTGCACAAGATGTCAGCTTTATACCTTAAACCCCGTGAAGCCACGTTCCCAGAAAAGAGAGATTAAGACGTATTACTACAGAAACTAGGGTGGTGAAAAGCAGGAAAACCATCATCTCCCCCCACGAAGTGGGAGAGCACATTCGGGAAGGAGCCTTTCAGGTTTTTTACCACCAAAGCGAGCTGATAAAAGACCAGCCAACCAAACCCGCCCGGGCCCG